ATCGATCATTGCATGAATATTATGTGAGAAAATATCATTTCAACTGAATATCAAATTAAATTGTTTGTTTCTTTATAGCAATGGCGAATCATTTAAAAATTTTAAACATATCATGAATGCAATTGTTTAAGATTGTGACAATATTTTTAAGCTAGATGTGCTCAATCTTAATCTTCGATTTTGTATAACATATTTTATTATGTTAAATCTCAGGTTTTGTAGATAAGAAAAATGAGTAGAGAGAGAGAAAGGAAGGAGGAGAGATACGTCATGATGAAAAAAAATCATGTGGCATTGAGTTTGATGGATTGGTCACTATTGCACCTTTTAAAGTAACATTATAGGTACTCATACGATGATCGATCAACATCTGTAAAAATTCATCTAAAAATATTGTTTATCTACATCAACAAAAAAAGTAGTCAATTTCTGCTTAAATGTCAGTTAAATAGTCAACATTTAAAGAATTAAATGGATTGATTACTTTTGCACCAACTCTGATAACGTTATCTATATTTTTGCTCCTGGCCTACAACTTCGTATATATTTTTGCTCCTGGCCGATGACTTTGTAGGTATTTTTGCCCCTTTATTGATTCACGTTAGTAAAGACTAACACGTGACATGCACAGTCAATATTTAACAGTCAAAATTATGGCATTAGGTCAAAGTCAATAGTCTGATTACTTTTACATCTATCCAACTAATGTTGTGGATATTTTTACTCTTTTCCTCACTTCAGAATACTGAGTGCTCATGATTGACCACTTTGTAAGTATTTTTGCTTTTTTTCCCTATTTAAAAAGGTAAAAAATATTTTACAATAATCTATATATGTAAGCTATGCCTGAATGAGAGAAACTATTCGGCAAACAAAAAAAAGAAGAATGAGAGAAACTAAATATAACAATAAAGAAAGAAACAGAGGCAAAGCAAGAATCTAAGAGATCAACATTGTGATTGAGAACATTCAAGATCAAAGATATTTACTAAAGAGTCCACAAATTCTACTTCTTGTTTTCTTGGCATGTCTTCTTTGTTATAACAATATTTATTTTAAGATAATTAATTTTTTCACAATAATTGTATCTGTATGAAAATTGGAGTGCCAGACCAAATTACAAAAGATCTCAAAACCTAAACCAGACAAGGTGGAACTCGACAAGTTACAGTTCATTTGGGCTGAAATAAGTAAATCGATGTGTTTGGAGGGAGGTTTGACAGTGTTGCGCTTGCTCCTCCCACTATTCAAGATTCTCAGTAGTCCAACACCCACCACTCTGCACGACGGAACTCCCTCCAAGCAGTTACAGGCACAAACAATTATCTGCTCTCACTAACGTCAAACTTTAATTCAAAAGGGAGAACACCGTTGCCATTTATTATAAATAGGCAACGAGGCACATAAGTCACAAGATCTCAACATGCTACCAAATCTACACTACACTTGTCGGTGCAAATACTCAAATCCTAACCCTAATCATCTTCAATCTCACCCAAAGCAACTTACTTTCTCTGTGTAAACTTAGCTCTTTAAGTTAGTTTCCTAGACTTGTATAACTTCTCTATATTCATAGAGCTCCTCATTGTGTTTACTCTTTTAAATAACGCCACTAAGCTTTTTGCTCTCACATGATTCATGAAGCACATTCTATTATTCTCACTAATCATTTGACTTTTCAAGAAAATTGTGATAAAAGACTTCAAAAATTCATTTCAATCATTTGATTGCGACTCACTTTTTTTAGGACATATTCCTCTCACACGCCTAGCACACTCAAGCGCCAAAAGGATCACAACAATCCAACCCCTTCACAAAAAATCGAGCCACTAAATCTTTTCATTATTTAGAAACTAAAATTATTAATGATTTGTTGTTTTAAAATAATTATTATTAAATTATGAAAAACATGAAATGAAAAAGATACTTGCAAGAAGGAAATTAGCTTTAAAAAAAAGCTGAAGCTGTTTATATATGCGCGCAGGGGAATGTATGTATTAAACATAATTATATAAGATGAAGGGAGAGATTTTTTTTATCTTATTTATAAATTATATTATTAAATTTTTATTATAATTTATTTCTTTTACCTCCCTTAACATTGGCAAGAAAAAATAAGTTATTAAAATATATATTTAGTTGGGTGAAAAGATAAAAAATTATTAAATTTTTAATTGTAATTAGTGAGTTTTAAGATTTTTTTTGTTTTTAAATTCTGACCAAACATGTTTAAAATGACTTGACGAAAAAACCCTCAAGCCCAGAAGCCACGCAAACCACCCAACACGCTGCAATAATTGAAGGTCTTTTGCGGACTGCAGAGACAATAATTGAATTGAACAAGGACAAAAACCCACCAGAAATTCTAATAAAGAATACAAAATCGTACCAAATGAAATGGATGTGATGATAGATAGGGTGATAGAGATTGTCATCACTTTAAATGGTTGGATGTTTTAATCTCTGTCTTGTTCATATAGCAATTTAGTTGAGTAAAGTTACGCACAAAGACTGCAATTTTTTTAATGAAAATATATTTATTTCAAAAAATAACAATTATCTAGCCACAATGACTCTTGACATGTACAGGGTTGGTTTAGATGGAAGGAAAAGTACGAAGAAAATAGGGGAAAAAGAAAATTAGGAAAAATGTTCCGAAAAAGCTTTTTTTCATTATTTTTGAGAGTTTTCTCTTTTAATTTTCATTCTATTTTTTTCCCTGAAAAATAAGAAAGGATAAATGTAATTTTGTCCTACAAGACCTATGATGCTACAAGTTTCAACGCTATTTCCTTGGTCCGAAAACAAAAAGTTCTTTCTTTATTTTGATAAACTAGCACTAATTCTCCTGTGCAATGAAGAATAATAATAAAGATGATCCAAGATATCCATATTAAATAATATTGTCAAATCTGCAGACGCTTTCTATTCATTATGAAGTAACTAAATCAAATCTATCTTGTTTGTTGTCCTGGCAGTTACATGAGAAACTCAATATGCTTGTTGAGATCAAACATGAAATTGAAGATGGATTTTTCTGGACTTCAATTCAGCAACGCCTAATCATGTTATGTAAGGCCCTACGCAGATTTTGAACAAAATCCACAAATATCAAGATAAATGTGATTAAATATAAGGTTAAGGTTCAAGCCTGCTCATAAAGAACTCTGAGGAATTACTGATATCTTCAACTCAAGTATGAGTTCTAAATTGAAATGTGTTTGTGTTGAGTGACAAAATAAATGTTATGTCTAGAGTTAGTTTTTTTGCCAATTAGAATAAATATGAATACATATATTTCTATGTCTACACCTTGAGTCAAATAAAATAAAAAAAATTAATTTTTTAATCATTCAACTTTTAACTTATTTATAACTCAATCTCTCAACTATGACTCGCTGGTACTAAATTATAACTCAATCCCTCAACTATGACTCGCTGCGATTCAGTCCCTCAACTTTTAATTCACCTATAATTCAATCCTTATTTTTTAATTTTTTTAAAAAATTTTTTTATCAAATAAGAGGGATAAAAAAAATACTTATATAATATTCTAAAATACCTTCCTCTTGTTCATTGATGTGAGATATAAGCTAACGTGAAAAAAAAAATAATAAAAGTTCAGGAACTAATTTGTAAGTGATTCAAAAGTTAAGACACTGAGTCATAAGCGAGTTATAGTTGAAAGACTGAGTCACAGCAAGTCATAGTTGAAAGATTAAGTTATAAGTGAATTAAAAATTAAAAGATTAAAAGATCAATTTTTTCAATAAAATATCAATGTTTTTTTTACATTCATGATTAATGTCTGATAATATGTATCTTCATTATGAATTGGAGATTTTTGTACCATTTTAAAATTAATGGGCAAAATTACACCATTACATATTACGTTATGAATATTTTTGTTCCAAATACATTTACACATAATATAACAAACGAGACCTACAACCCTTCTTAACGAACGATAGGATTGTTATTGACCGAAAACTTCTGCACTGTTTTTTGTTTTTTTGGTTCATGTGTAGACTATACCTTACTGAGTTTAGGATGCTACTAGCTTCTGGATACATTTCCATCTTAAATGTTAAACATATTATTGAAGCGCACATATGTAGAGCGACATCTTATTAATTTTCATTTAATTGTTGGTTTCCCTTTGGACTTTTCATTACCTTTCCTCAAGCACCAAGTTCCTCTCTGCTACTTTTATCAGGCACTCAGTTCATTGAATGTAGGGTTATCGGCAAGGTTTTAAAGGCTATACTAGTCATTAAATTGGATAAGACATTAATTCAAAGATTAATGACCGAGCCATGATTGAATTAATTATAATTAATTTAATATATTTTTTAATTACATTTATTATATTAGAAATGAAATTTTACAAAATATTACAAGGCCCATGAACAGATAAAATTGAAAAAGTAGAAGAGAGACGGCGTCTTCCTTTTAATTTAACAAGGGAACTTGTCTTGGGTGTTCAAAACCACTGTAAACTTGTTTAATTTTTAAGAGTACATATTCATCATGTGTTAAATAACAAAACATGAGGCACTTTTAGGAGACTTATTAAGATAAAATTAAAATTATAAATTCTGAAATAAAAATATAAATCAATAATTTTTAAGACAGGTTAGACATATAAGATTACATTAAAAAAAATGATGCAAGATTTAAGTAAGATATTTTAATAAAGTCAAAGGAAAATAAGGGGAAAAATGGAAGTAACCAAATACATAAGATGAGCTCTGGAGGTCCCACGTAGCTACTATCAGCGAAAAATTGCCACACTTGGCCAAAACCTTTTTAATATTTTGTTTGTTGATTTTCTTTTAAAAAAACATTGGTCTACTTGTATAAATTGGAACCGGTCTGGTTATGACTGGTTTAGCTAGTTGTTGGACTAGTTTTATATACGCTAGTTTTCTTGTTATACTGAATTGGACCAAGGGCTAGATCCTGGTTAAATCAATCAGTCCAGACCACTTTTTAAAACCTTGGTTTAATGCTAGTTTTTTTTTTTTTGGGTAAAAGGGGAGGGCCAGGCCCGATGTACTAATTAAGTTAAGACAGAGAGGGGGATTGAAATCCCATACAATCATAAAGAACTAAGTCCTTCACAAAAGAAGGAGCAGTGCTAAAAAAAGAAGAAACAAGAAGAGCTTCTTTGGCAAGTCTATCAGCCACTCTATTTCTAAACCTAGGAATGTGATTAGACTTGACCATCCAATTGTTCTTCAGCAACTTAGAGACCTCGAGCACAACTTGGCTGTGAGGAGAGAGTTCATCAGGTTCAGATTCTAAAATGTCAATTAAGGCCTTACAATCAGTTTCAAGAATAACACTCTTGTAGCCCATATCCCAAGCAAGATTAAGTCCTTTTAGGCAAGCCCAAGCCTCAGCTTCAAGAGAACATTGGCCCAGATAAAAGGAAAACCCAGCAATCCAAGAGCCCAAATAATCTCTTAGAGCACCACGACATCCACCATTAGAGTCAACTTGAGAAACAGCACCGTCAATATTAATTTTAATCCAGCCACATTGAGGAGGGAGCCATAAGGAAGGCTCATTCTTCACATTTGAGGTAGAAAAATAGGTGGTAGAGAGGGATTTTCAAACAACCATAAGATGGGACACAGGGTCATAAAGCTTATGAAAACTAGCATCAAAAATAAAATTATTTCTCCATTTCCAAAAATGCCAAACAGAAACACCCCAAAAAATCTCCCAATCAGAGTCAATATGGAGTCCCATATTACAAGTCAAATTAGCATGAACCCACTCCTTAGAGGATAAGAAAAAAAAATTATTTGATAATTAGGGTGGACCGTTTGCAACCAGGAGCAGTGAGCATACTTACAGTCCCTTAAAATATGGAGAATATTTTCTTCATTCGAGTTACACCAATTGCAGAGTGGTGAAGAAAGAGCCCAAGAGCTGTGCCACAAATTTGTTAGTAGCCAATTGTGGAAGATCATCCATAGAAAAAAGGCGAATTCTTTCCTCTCCTCTCCACTTACAGATTACTTTAAAAGTGGGAGAATATAAATTTGGAGGGATCTTTTCTATAAGGAAATATGCACTTTTGAGAGTAAAAATGCCATTAGAGGAGGCATTCCAGGACATGATGTCATTACCAGCTCTTTGGGAGGGTGGAATGACAGCAATTAGTTTGAGGATTATGTTACTGGGAAGAACAGTTGCTAAATTAACAAAATCCCAAGAACCATAAGCCACCCAATCAGCAACTTTGCTTTGTTCTTCCCTAAGAGATAAGGGCCTTGTACATAGATCTTTCAGTTTTGTCCCAGGGATAAGCCAGAAATCATCAAAGAAGGAAACATTTTCTCCATTGCGAATTTGCCATTTAGTGCCTTCTTTAATTAAATCACTTTGTTGGCAAATGAAGTGCCAAAGTTGAGAGTCTCCTTTTTTAACTTCTAAAAGATCACTATCATTTCGAAGCATGTACTTGTGTAGAAGGATGTCTGCCTATAATCCTTTCACCCCAAAGATTAACTTCCATGCCAATTTAACACCACAGGCTATGTTTATAAAGGAGAGTTTTCTAAAACCAAGACCATCGTGCTCCTTAGGGAGAGACACTATGCCAATTTAAAGGAAGGATGAAAACTGTGTCCAGAAGAGCCTCCCCAAATGAAGTTCCTCTATGAAAAATGATTAATGAAAACTTTTACGACTCTTACCTTTGGTTTAATGCTAGTTATAGCAAAAGTCACATAAACTTGGGCTTCAGTTTTTGCTAATGCACAATTTGACCTGACAAGCAATCAAACAGTAAAGAACTTGAATTTGTGAAGTGTTCCCTCATGTTAGAGATGTCACCGAAAGAAGACATCAAAGCCTGATTGGTAGACTTTGATACCACACGGACCTAGAGATCCTTGTGTGTCTCAGTATTTTAAGGTATATTAATTCAAGTAAGGCTGCTCAATGCCTCTCATGGGCAAACTCAGGCTACTTTTGAGTTTTTAACCCCTTGACACTTTAACCCCACAAATCTCTAAAAATAGTAACACGGGCTCACACTCATGAATTGTTGGTCAAATTTTTTTTGGTGCACAGGTTCCTCATAAAAGCAAATGCAAAACATACTTGAATCCTGATATGATAGAAGTAAGATATTATAAAATCAAGCTTTCAGTAGAGAGGAGAAAGTTTACATAATTGAGAAAATACATTTATCTTTATTTTTTAAAACGAGTTCCACCTCACAACATAGCTAAAATCTCCTTATATAGATAAAAGGAGGAGGATCAAAATGACATTATAATTACAACAGGACAAACTGATATCACATACATACATAGGCATAATATAAAGTAAAAGCAAAAGCAATTCATTTGATTAAAGTAAAAAAAAATTATCCAAAAGTCAAAAGTAACTTTTGACAAAGACTATTACAAAACAAAACAGACTCTGACAAAAAGAGAAATGATTAAAGTAAAGCAAATTCTTTTTCTCATAATTGACGGTAAGACCTAAATTATGATAAACTCTTGTGGATGCATTCCTAATCTAATAATAGAGGGGACTCAAGAATGAGTTGTTCGTCATCAAAATTTCATCCATAACTTAAGAGGATCCACAGCAAGTGTATCTTTTAATTCTAAAAACAACTGATAGGTTTGAGTCTCTATCTCATAAGGACTCTAACTATCTGAAGGAAATGATGGATGGATAGATGATGATGCTCCATAATAAGATTCCATCCATGTAGAGTATCCTTTTTTGAACCGCAATACTAGAGAGCCATTCTCTAAAAACTTGTTATACTAATGGTAATGGATCATCGAGGAGGATGGGCTGATAAGGGATAAGATCAAGAGATGTACACCTAAGATTAGGATCGGAGAATTATTCCTTTCACATAAAAATTCTTTTAATTCACTTAAAACTAAAGTTTCATGTGCTGGCCAATTAGTTGCGGTCTTCTATAAACATACCTGTTGGCCACATAAAGATTTCCTTCGATATCAAGTTGATAAGGATGATAAATAACAAAGAAGGAATAAGCCTTACATTCATTCAATGGTTTTTTCCATAGCTCATATGGTTCAATCACTTGGGAGAGTTTCTTTCGCCATCTAGGTATTAGTGAAAACTAATTAAGAAGCTTCCAAAGGTTTGATCCTTCATTGGCAGAGTCGTAAAGGTAATGATAAATGATTAATGGTGGAGATGCAAAGGCACATGCAGAGGGTCAAGGGACCAAAGGTAACACATCGCTTGATCTAATATGGGGCCTCTAATGAAGGGTATAGCCAGCTAAGGGGCTTGAATGTCAAAGAATTCAAGCTATTACTGGATTTCAATTTTTTGAAGGTGGAGCCAAAAAATCTCCAATGGTGTTTTGATTTCCCTTGATGTGCCAAATTATAAATTTATAACAAGAAAACCGATCCTTCCATCAAAAGAGATTAGCTTCAGGGAGTAGAAGTATCTTTCTGTTCTGATCAAAGATTTTCGAGAATGAGGTGTCGTCCATTTCTATCACAAAGTGATAAGGACTAACATGAAAACTAAACTTCTCTGTGCCACATTTCACAACTAGGAGCTCCTTGTATGCTATGTGATAATACTTTTTAGAATGTTTGAATTCACCACTGACATGACCATACTAATGTCTTTTCTCGTTTTCTTCCTCTGAGTGCTGCTTCCCAAAAGTCATCGCTTACATTTGTTTGCAGAATTCTCTATCCTTTGTCAAAAATCCTTATTGCAGGAGGAAGTTGACAAACTTACTTTAAATGCTGTACAGTTTCTGTTTGGCTAAATCCTCAAGGCAATGGATTTTTTCGCAACAATCATAGAGCATCATCCTTTACCCCTACATCATTTCTTCCAGACAGCTAAAACCCTATGAAATAGAGACTTAAACCCACTAACTATTTTTAGAATTAAAAGATACACCTACCTTCGAACCCTCTCAAATGATGGATGAAGACTTTGATGAAGAACAGCTCACTCTTAAACCTCTTTCTACCAAATGGCTTAGAAAAGACGAAAAGACTTAATCGAACCTTTTATCAGCGCAGAAATACATCCACAAGAGTTAACGACAATTGAGGTCTCATCCTCAATTATGAATAAAGAAATCCGCTTTACTTTAATCATGCCTCCTTTTATCAGAGTCAATTTTGTCTTGTAGTAGTTTTTATCAAAAGTTACTTTTGACTTTTGGACAGAATTGTTTACTTTAACCCAGTCAATCACTTTTGCTTTTACTTTATATCAAGTCTAGTTATGCATGTAATATTGATTTGCTCTCTTAGAATTATGAATATGTCGTCCTGATCCTTCTCCCTTTGTTTATATTCAGTTATGTTATAAGACAGAACTCGTTTGGAAAAATACAGACCAGTGTGTCTTCCCAATTATGTCTCTATAAACTCTCTCCTCTTTCCCTAAAACTTGTTTCTATAATATCTTATTTTTGTCATACCAATTCAAATATGCTCTGAACCTGCCTCTCTGAGAAACTTGTGCTCCAGAAAGAATCCTAACAACATCCATGAGTGTAAACCCATGTCACCACGCTTAGAGATCCGTGGGCGGAAGTGTCCAGGAGTTGAGGGTCCTAAAATGGCCCGAGTTTACCCAGTTGAGGCATTAAGGGCTTGTCTGGATCAATATATCCTAAGATACATAGACACACAAGGATCTCTTGGCCTAAATGCACGAGACCCACCCCGCTAAATTCCTAACATAACAGTTCAAAGATCAAAGTATATTCCCCTTTTCAATAAGGGTCATGGGTTTCAAAGCATCTTCAGGCTTGTAAGGTTTTTAAACTTGAATACACAATTGGTCCCTCTAGTATTGTAAAAGTGTCATCTTGTCCCTCTAATTTTAATCAAGTCAATGTTGTCTTTAACATTTAAAAACAAAGGTTCAGTTTTTCAGTTATATTGCGCAGTTTTTTTATTTTTCTGGTAATAATCAGAGATGATAATGTTCTGGATAATCTGATTAACTAGACTTCAGTCATTTGATTCACATGACAAGACATATGATAAGGGATCAAGTAAAATGACTCTTCAATTATGTAACCTCCCATCTCCATTCCATTTTCCTTCTAAGCCTGAATGATTGTCACCTAGCATACTTGTGTAGCCCAAACTGTGTCCATGCATGCATGCAAGTAAAACATAAGTTCACAACTTCTTGTCAAATATTATATGACATAATTGATTAAATTAAAAAGACCACATTTTTACAATATAAGAGAGTTAAAAATGCATTTTAAGCTAGTATTTTTTTAATCTACTTACCTGGATGGAGAAAATCAACTAAAGTAGAACAAATTCAGTAAATATATGATATATGAACAAACAATATACAAGAAATATTACTGATAGAGTAATAGGGGGAACAATTATTTAATATAATGAATAATTATTACCTTGTTAAGATCAAGAGCCTTGAAAGTTTCCTCTGCCTCTACTAATTTCTCCATTTCCTGGGTCACTCTCTCAATTAATTTCTCACCAGACCAATTACTTGCAGCCGTAAATAAACAAATCCTATTACATTAACTGAAAAATTATACCTGCAATCATACAATAACCGATAATAAAAGCTAGTAAAGTCCCCCTACAGTAACTGATAATAATGGCTATGTAGTGTGGATCCGTAAGTAAAAGAACATCTTTCTGTTGGTTCATTCTCTAATTTTCACTAGAAAACCCATTAAGTTATACTACTAAAACTGCAAGAGACTCCATCATGCAATTGTTTATAATAGAACTGAAAAAACAAATACAAAGGATTAGATAATGCTAATGAGCAGGATTTGAAACAGTAGATGAGAATGAAAGCAGAATCAGCATATATATAATATATGCAGAAATCAGATGCGTCTATTTCTTTTAAGGCAAAGAAACATCAAAGATGAGGTAAGCAATTTCAACAATCGAATAATTGAATAAACTCTCTAATGTAAGCTTGTTTCTTAAAGTAACAAAGACTGTCGAGACCTTCATTTTTGCGATCAGTTTGTCTAAAGAACAAAACCGTAGAAATAAGAGCAAAATGTATTAATAATATAACCGTACCCAACATTACAAATACAGAATAGGGATGCACAAATCTAATGATCAATACTCAGACATAAAGTCAACACCAACAAATGAAAATTCACTGAACATGTCTCGATGGAGTTATATGAAGAGGAAAAATCCTTAAACTCAATTTATCATTTGTTACCCAGTAATCCAGTCACAATAAGTTGCTCCAAAGCTAATCATATCATATTCAACCTTCATTTTCGAGTCCACAAAGCCACTGCACTTGAAACCTTTTGAATGGAAAGAATAAAGTGGAATAAAAAAGGAACGAGTTTAAAAAAATAAGAAGAGAATTCTTGAACAGCCAGTTTTATTCATCTGGTATGTGCACAATACTGGACAGTTTGTTTTGGTAGGTAAATAGACTCCCTCCTCTCAGAGAAAATAAGGTCAAATGAAGTTATCAATCCTACTCCATAGGCATACATCCCACACAAGTTTATCGTCTAACACATATTCAGTTGAATAAAATGCACTAAAAGGGGCCAGAAAGAAAAGGAAAGAAAACACATAGAACATACTTGAAAATTAGGCATCACTGCCGTCCAAGGCTTTTGCAGCAAAAGGATCATGAGTTGGACCAACATCCTGCCCAATATGGCGCTGCACAAGCCGCTGCAGATCAGCCATAACCTTATGTTCCCTCTTGGCCTTTTCTTCGTAGTTGAACATAGCCAGAGCACGTTTGTCCTCTGCACTATAAACCTGGTTTTCTTTTCTAATACGAATAGCATTCATCCTTTGATGTCTACTGCCACTCATCACATATCCAAGGCTTTCAAACTTCTGAATTTCCTCCGCAGAAAGACCCACTTCACCTCTGCGAGGGATACGCTTCCCTTGCTGGACGTACTGTGCAATGGCATCACCTTCCCCGGGCCTGAGCGCCCCACCATAACTAATATGGCCCTCAGCTCTCGGCAAAGGTTGTGGTCCAACGACGGGTTCATCATCCAATGTGGGTTTCTTCTGTGACTCAAACAATTCTTTCAGCTTCAGTGCCTCAGCATTAATTTCTGGCTTCTTCACCTCGTCCAACATGATCCTTGCATCAGCTTCAGCATCCCAGCTTTCTTCTTCAGGGTAAGAATCATCACTTTTCGCATGAGACCGTCTCTTTCTCCTGCCACCTTTTGAACGAGACCCTGAAGATCGCTTATGTTTCTTGCGTGACCTCTCACGATCATCTGTAGATCGACTAGCATCAGACTCCTCACTTTCACCGTCTTCGCTGGCGTCCGAATCGCTGTGCCTTCTCTTCCTCTTCCTACCGCTCCTTTCCCGTCTACTTCTGGTTATCCTACTCTTAACCGATTTCTTTCTCCGCGGACGATCGTCTTCAGATTCACTTTCACTTTCCTCAGCTTCAGTGTCACTGTAAGACTTCCTGCTCCTGCGCTTAGAACCTGCAGTCCGTCTAATCTTCCTCCTTGAGCGTGAAACATCTGATTCAGAATCAGACTCGGACTCGAACGAACTCTTCGATTCACTACTGGCAGATTTCTCAGACGAAGATTCAAACTCCCCTTTCGATTTAGTTTCCTTGTCGGCCGAATCAGTCTTGCCCAAACCATCATGTCCGTCCTCGTCAGAAATTTCTTCCAATTTCTCCTCCAAATCATCGCTCTCGCCTCTTGGAGGACTCGGTGTAACATTCCAAATACAGCGTTTCAACATCTTCCTCATCTTTTGCCTCTTCAACCTTCTGAACTCTTCATAGCTCAAACCCTTCAACTCCTCGTCCGAATCAGAATCAGAGCGCCCAAAATCCCGGCGGCGATCTCCACGACCGAATTTCTTTGGCAAACTATCGCCATTCAGAGTTCGATGGTTGTATCTAGGGCTCCTGTTTTCAGGTGACTCCGATCGACGGCCGTAACGATCGTTGTTGGCATAGCGACCATATGATTCATAACTAGGGCTACGACGGGTTCGGTAATCATCAGAGACATCGGTATCAGGGGTGTAGCGGCCGTTTCCTTTGTTCGAACGATGCCGTCGGTCGGGAATTTCAACTGTGGAGGCTGGCCTTAGCATCGGGGTTTCTCAAATGAACTGAAAATACAAATAAGGATAAAGTAAGTGGCTCGTGATTTCTGAAAACCCTCTCCTACTTCCCCACAAAAACGTGTTGTGCAAAGCGTTGGGTTTTGGTGCTCATGATGAACATCCGTTTAAATTTATATTTTTTATTTTTATTTTATTGTATATTTATTATAAAACTTTAATAAAGTTATTTTATCATTAACATATATAGTAATATAAATGTAATTTAAAAAATTTAATTTAATATTAATTTTTTATAATTTTTATAAATTAACTATCTAAATATATTATGAATTAAATTTAACATTAATTTTTTTAAATTTTTTAAATTTTTTTATTGTAACAAATATAATACTAAAAATAAAAATAAAGATGATTTTTAAACTAACACTTTAAAAAAGTTATAATTTTAAAAATTTTAAATTCAAACTGTTCATAGTATATTTAAATAATTAATTTATAAAAATTTAAAAAAATTAAAATTAAATTGAATCATTTTACTTAAATATGCATTATTTAGATTACAAATAAGATAAATTTATTAAAATTTTATAATTTTTATTTTATTTCCTTCTTCTATTAATTGTAAGTTATCATCTGTTAATTCTAAGTTTATCATACTTTTTTTTTATTTTTGGGTCTATTAAGGCTATAATTTCTCTTCATACGACTTCTTTTTTAACTTCTATTAATATATAATTATTATTTTTAATTACATCTATTCTTGGTGTTTCAGGCCTTAGAAATGTTAAATTTAAAGTTATTGAAATTTTTGCCAAATAATTTTTTGATATCTTCATACTTTGTGATCTAAATAATTCTCTTCTAGATGTTCCTTTACTAGTTCTAGGTCTTTCTTTTATGCTTAAACTTCTTTTGGATTGATGAATATTTATGTTTTATGTTAGTGTATTTATTCTTAAATATCTTTGTCCTATATTAAATGTCATCATTTTTTGTATTATTTCTTCTTCTGTATTTATAACTTCTTCATATTCATCATATTCTTTTTTATTATTACTGCTTTCAGCTTCATCTTCTATTTTATTTATCATATATATATATATATATATAACCATATTTTTTTCATTTTCACTATTTTCTGTATCACTTATTATTTTTAATTTATATATTTTTATATCTGAATCTTCTATTTCACTTTTTATTTTTGATAAATTTTTATTAAATTCTAATGGTTTTAAATTATACTTATAGGCTTCTTGTAATATTTTAATAGTTTTTTATCTCCATTTTTTTGTACAATTTGTTGATATATGCCCTATTTTTTTACAACTATAACATTTACGTTTGTTAGATTTTTTATTATAGTTTTTCTTTTTTTTCTTTTTTCTTAAAGAATTTTCTTAATTTATACTTTCTATAAAATTTATTTTTTGGATAATTCTTAAACTTATATTTAGTTTTTCTTTTCTTTTTTTCTTTTATATTCTTTTGATTTACATCCTCATTTATGAGGTGTTTGAAATTCTCCACATTTTATTATTGATTTATTAGTTTTATAACATTTTATATTTCTCCATGTCTATTTACATTTTTCAAATATATATTCTTTTAGAAAATTTTCTCTTTTTCCCATAGTATCAAATTCTCTTATTTGTTCATAACAATCTTTTTTCATTTCATATATCTTTTATTCTAAAGGTTTTGTTAATTCTCTTAATCTTATCATTTTATTTTTTTGGGTTTTCTTTTTCTATTATAATTTGTATTTCTTCAAGTAACATTTTTATTATTTCTTCTAAATTAAATATTTTTTCTAAATCATTTATATTTTTATTTATGTAATATCCTAATTGTTACATTAGATACATATCTGTTCAATTTACTTAATTGTGAAAATGTTTCTATAAATTCATTTCTTATTAATGTTTGATAATTTCTTATTATCATTGCATAGTATTCTCTTTTATAACTCTTAGTTCAGATAATAATCCCTTCCTAATCTCTAAGAAAAAAATTACTCAGTCATACCTAGTATTATTCTTCAAAATACTTGCAAAGACAGAAGGAATATTTTTATTGATAATAATAGAGTAGAGGTTAGAGAATTCTGAACTCAAATACAAGAAAGGGAATTGAAAGAGGTGTGTTTTGCCTCTGAAGTTACAAGGCTTTATATAAAACTAACATTCCAACCTTAATTACATAATCAAAGTTAATTGAAGATAAAATTTAACCTTAATGATTACAAAAGATAATATAACTTTTATACAATTGAAAAGTAATTGCAGGCTACTTTTCTCTTTGTCTTCCACCTTCTTTTGTTCCTTCATCATGAGTCAGCTACTTTTATTTTGTTTGTTACTTTTGGCTGCATCTTATCTTGTTTTTATGTGTCGGTAGGTCTATTGTAGAATATTGAGGTTGATAGTGGGGTCTTCATAATCCTTTTCTGATTATCTTATCTAGATCACAAAGTATGAGAATACCACAAAATTATTTGGCGAAAATTCCAATAACTTCAAATTTAGCATCTCTTAGATCTAAAACACCAAGAATAAATGTAACTAAAAATAATAATTATATATTAATAGAAGTTAAAAAGGAAGCCGTATGGAGAGAAATCATAGCCTGAATAGACCCAAATATAGAAAAAAGTACAATACAATTAAAATTAATAGATGATAACTTACAATTAATAGAAGAAGGAAATAAAACATCTATGATTAGAATAAATAAAAGAGATGTTATAAATATAATATTATGGGTAGAAGATAACAATAATAACCAGTGTAAAATAATATTAGGAAAAAACTTTTTAAAAAAAGTGAGACCATATAGAATACAACAAGACAGAATTATAATAAATATAAACTATCAAGCTATAGTAATGCCAAAAATAAAGTTAATATAATGATAAAATTGTACTATATACTCATAAAATTTAATTATAAAAAATATAGGTCAATAAAATATCATGCTTTAGTAGACATAGGAGCAAATATTTTAGAGCAAAAGCAAATGTATTACTAGAAGAATTATGAAAAAAAATAAAATATTAAGAATGCAAGGAGTGGGAAAAGAAATAATTATTATAGAATTAGAAGCAAAGGATATTTTAATACAAATAGGAGAATATGAATTAAAAATTAAAGAATTAAATCAATATAATGATAATTCATGTGATGTAATATTAGGAATAAACTTTATAGAACAATATTATAGACTTTATAGAACAATATTATCCTTTACACATGTTCTAAAAAGTATTAGTATTTACAACATCTTACAATCATGAAGTTTGGGGACTTAGGATAACTAAACCCTATAATAGAAAAGATGAAAAATTTTAAAAGAAAACAAAAGAATATGAAATACAATTTTTAGGTAATAAATACAATAAAAATATTAGGAACTATACAAATTATAGAAAGAAAAACTATTGAACAGAGATTATTAGATAATTATAATGAAAATCCTTTAATTCATTAAAAAAATCTAAACCTTTAATAAAAATAGAATTAAGAAATTATAGTAAAGAAATAAATTGTAAACCTTATTCATAAACAGAAAATGATAAAAAACAATTTATTATGTATATAAATGAAACAAAACAATATGATTTAATAATAAAAAGTAGAGTTGAATATTCATCATCGCTATGAGAGTAGTAAAATATAGTGAAGAAAAAAAAATCTAGACTAATTATAAATTATAAAAAGTGAAATGAATTAACAATAAAGAATAGATATTCAATTCTTAAAATAGATATATTATTTAATTTAATAAGAGGATTCAAATATAGAAATATATAAATTAAAAATAGTGAAAATGAAGAAGTAAGTGAGAGAGAGAGAGAGAGAGAGAATGGAATAGAATGTGTGTGTGTGTGATAAACAGAATAGAATAGAACATGAGGCTGAAAGCAGTAATAATCAAGGAGAATATGATGAATATGAAGTTATAAATACAGAATAAGAAATAATATAAAAAAGGCTAAAGCATTTAAATATTTTGATTCTAATGAACATATTTTTATTTCATGCATATTTTTTATGGCTATTTATTTTTTTGTTTTCTCATTTAATTGTGGAAATGTTCCTATAAATTAATTTCTTATTAATGTTTGATAATTTCTTATTATCATTACATGGTATTCTCTTTTATTAATATAACTTCTATCTGGTTTTATATTTATTATAAAAAATTATAAAAATTTATTAAAGTTATTTTATCATTAACATAGATAGTAATATAAATTTAATTTAGGAAATTCAATTTAATATTATTTTTTATAATTTTTATAAATTAACTATCCAAATATATTACAAATTAAATTTAATATTAATTTTTTTTAATTTTTTTAATTTAAAAAATATAATACTAACATTAAAAATAAAGATAATTTTAAACTAACACTTTAAAAAATAAAAAATTTATAATTTAAAAATTTTAAATCTAAACTGTTCATTTTGAATAATTAATTTATAAAAATTTAAAAAAATTAATATTAAATTAGAGTATTTAAATTAAATATGCATTATTTAGATTATTAATAAGATAAATTTATTAAAATTTTATAATTTTTATATTAATAATTATAAAATAAAATTAGCAAATCTAAATCGTCCAAATTTTTGCTCAACTGAACCTGAACACGTTCCATGACCTCCTCCAACCTCACTCCACTGTTTTTCTCTTTTACTACTTTTCTATTGTAAATTCAAATTATTAAAATTAAATTTATACTTTTAAAAATTATTAAATTTGTCTAAATTTGTAGTGATTCTTCTACCCCTATTTTTAAAAAAGGAAAGCCAACTCTAACATTCATATGTCCAAAAAAAAAAGCCTCACAATTGTTGCTTATAAATTTAAAATAATAATTTTATTAAATATTAAATAAGAACAGTTAAGTTTTTTATTTAATAGTGATAAGAAGAAAATCAGAGAGAGAGAGGGGCCCTCCCCCCATAATTTTTAACTTATTAAATTTTACAATAAATTTATTAAAATTTTGTCGGATTAAAGAAGTATCTATAATATTTGCATAAAAATAATGTATGTGTGTGTCTATAGACACAATTCTTGCATGAAGTTGCATGCCACAAGCTCTTGCTCTTTGAAACAA